GCTCAATTGTATGTATCTGCCTTTCCAGCTTGAAGATTACTGAAGCTGTTTACCATTCTGTAGATATCAGGTGATATAAATGAAGAGGTGGAGGCTCATAACCGGATGCTGGACAGAATGGTATGTTGTATCTACTCACTTCAAAGATCTGAATCTACTGCTTCTGCTATCTTACCATCACATGCCTTATTCAGGGTAATGACATGGATTCATCAAGGGGGTTTCTCTCTGGAACAGTGGACAAATTCAAGACGGTAAGCGAGCGGATTAATTAACGATTCGTCGTGCATCTTCCCCTTGTATTCTCCTGAGACGATCTATATCTTCATGAACGTAGGTGTTCGAGACCAAGTCGAGCAGGAGGATGGGGACACTCGTGGCGTCATTCGTCGCGCTCTTCATGCTAGTGTACTACCTGACCAGGTAGAAGGGTCCTTGGGTTGCATCCTCTTCCTACCTCAGGCTATGTGTGGAGTGGGGGTGCCCGAGAACATGCTGAAAATGGTTGCGCCGGTCGATCTACATGTCGTATGTACTTAATCTGTCAAAAGTATGTCGATCCGAGTGTCGCTAGTTTGCACCGTGTGTGGATTACAGCCCTTTCCTTCTTTTTTTGCTCTGGTGATGTGTAAGTAATTACAGAATATGGAGTCAACTCTTTGCCTGTTTGCACTGTCATGCTACATGTATGATAACTACTACTAGTAGTATACTTTGGAATGCTTTCTACTACAAGTTCATTATTTTTCTCCTGGGGTTTTGGTTACCGGTAGACAGGAGTTTACTTGAGCGCTTATCTGGGGTAGCCGCGAGCGCGACACGCGTCCCGCCCGCGGCCAAAGGGACGGGTCCAAAACCGAAATAACAATGCAGCTGCTGCATTGTGTAAGCATAGTTTTCAGGCCAAGACTCGAGGTCAGCGGGTGGTTTAGTCGCGCGATTAACAACTGGCGCGGCGCAATTATTGAGGCCAAGATGCCCTAATCGTGTGGGAACAGGCGCGGGACACCTGTCATTAGCATAGACAATTGCACGCAGCAGCCAATCTTAATCAGAGGCACGACCCTCATTTCTTTACCAGCAGCACCAGATGCATGCATATGAACAACCCTTAATCTACTACTGCTGCCTGCTGTGGATGCAGCTGATTAGTGCCTGATTTGCATTTTGCAATTGTTAGGGGTGTGTTAGATGTGTCATGCACACCACCCCATTTGAAGTTTGACAAAGCTTAGGTTATCCATCCCTGGGGGATGTGCCACCATGCTGATTGATTAGTGGGCAGTGCTTTGTGGAAAGAAGGAAAAAAAAAGAGAGAGAGAGAGAGATTAGGGGTTTGCATACTTAATTAACTGCTTGCATTTGGCTTTTGCCCTGTCCTTTTCCTTTTCAGATTGGAGTGGGGTGGAGGCATATGATATGAGCATGGCAGGATCTTCACTGTACTTTGCATATCTTGTATATCTATCTATATATGTATTTGATGCATCTCAGGCATGGACCACATGAGTTAGGCGTGCATCTGTATGATTTTGTTCTTCCCCCCAAATCAACTGTTGCTTGGACATGCTACGCTGTGTAATTAATCAAATGTGATTTCAGTGGAATAGCGATGTTATTGTCAATTTCTGCAACAATTATATCTATCTATTGAATACGTTTTTTTTGCATGGTAATACGTGTCTCATTTATATAGAATAAAAATCAAGTTACAAGGCACGTAAGCACCGACCATACAAGACTGAAACGATAGGAAAATCCTATGCAAAATTCCAACGTCTGTCCCTCTCCTTCGACACCACCGAAGCGGACACCAAAGGGTAAAAAGACAGATCACCTCTTCACCCAAGCTCGACGCGGCTCCATCGCTGATCAGCAACTTTGCGGACCTCCAAAGTGGTTTTCCAGAAGCAAAACCATAGCCGTTGAAAGAATCAGACCGGGGCAACATATCCCCGGACACGCCATCAAACTTCAGAACTGACACCCCCGCATGACGACGACGTCGGAGGAGGAAAGCAGAACTGTCAGCCTTCAACCACAGACCCAACACAAGATTCTCCATCTTCCAGCTGTAACTTGCGTAGACAACCGCCTGCGCGTACTCCTGAACGACAAAACCTCCCTGCTCCACCATGACGTCGGAGACAACGCCATAGCAACGGGGACAGAGCAGAAGGAGAGACACACCTGATGGAGTCGTCGCCGCCGCCTCGCCAACACCATCCATGAACCCTAACGCTGCCGATCTGAAGGATCGGCAGAGACACGATGCCATCAACTCCGAGACGCCGCCGTGAAGGGCACCGCCGGAATGGGAGTGAAGCTGAGGCAGATTTATTCGTCTGTGCGTCGCTCCCACCACCCCAACGACGCACCACGACCTACAAATCCAAAACCTAACTACAGAGCGGAGGAACGGGGTCCCCCCTCCCTCCTGCCACCGGAGCAGCGGCTGGAGGGAAAGGGGGCCAGCGCACCGGCCGGTGGAGATCGGTGGAAGGAGATCGCCTCCCTAGTCGCCTGGCTGTTGGCGGCGGCTAGGGTAGGGAAAGCGCTGTACGTATTTGTTCGTGCATCTATTGAATAAGTTTCCTACTCCCTCCGTTCCAAATTACTTGTCTTAGATCTGTCTAGATACCGTATCTAGACAGATCTAAGACAAGTAATTTGGAACGGATGTAAATTTTTATTTATTTAGATGAAACAAGAAGATTTGATTATGTTGTGAAAGTATTTTGCTGGAATGACTTGGGCTTACACTGAGAATTTCTAGAGCATGTTGTTTACACCGGGTACATCTTATCCAACCAAGATCACAATGATTAATTTCATGAAATATGTTATGATTAACGGGAATCTTATGTCATGAAGTTCGCCGATTTGTTAAAGCACGTATATATTTCAGCATCACCGAACATCATCATCTGTTTGTTGGCATACAGAGAGATCAAACATAAAAAGCATACATGATTTTTTATACGCTGCCATGATTAGTTAAAGCATGCCTACCTGCAGGTAGCTTCAAAAATCTCATTACTCTGCCAGCCTGAAGTACCCTTTGTATATCTTGCCTACCTGAGTACTGAAACGTTGAATAGGCGCTTAATTATCTCTAGGCCTCAACAACATATTTGGCAATAAATTCCATGACATTATATATATAGATGTACTAATATAAACTCATGTTGGAATAAGTGACCAGTAGTTGAAGTCCATGACTGCTCTATGCATATATGTAGGACATGTTTAATTAAGAGTTCCAAGTACTGGTTGAAGATGTTCTTCATGAACATGTCATCTGATTGATTGATTACTTTGTCTCCAACTAACAGGAAACATCAAACGGAATAAAACTTGTACGCATTATTGTAGAATGCATAATGATATTCTTGTCATTAGTTGACAACGACAATAAAGGGTATCAACAATTGCAACTAATCTACTTTGTGAAGCTTCTCTTAACAAAATGAGATGTCATAACTGACGCCTAAATAAATATGTGTACCATTGGCAAAGTGCACACAGATATCCCGCGATAATTTCTAAACTCAGAACCTAAGACTTGTACCTAGTTAATTAACAGGTCAGAAGCATGTAAGGGTATAATCATTGCATCAGAACAAATTCATGGGAACAAACTCCCGAGGTCAAATTTATTTATTTTCTTCGGAAACAAATTTTAGGTTGAAGATTATACGATTTCATCTTGACACTGCAAACGGCAATTTCATCTTGACACTAAATCAGTTTGGCTGCAAGCGAGGCTGGTTTTGTTTAGTTGGGATGTCGGGAGCTTTGTGAAAAGGACATGCACCGTACATGCACCCCACCAGCCACCCCCACGCACACAAAAACCCTAATACCCAACTAGACACATATTTCCATCTAGCACAGTCCTAATTACCATCCATAATACCAACAAAAAAAACACTATGCCCACCCTACCCTTATCATGTACCATCCCATTTCAGGACAAAAGAAACCTACGAGTTAAAGTAGTGTGGTGGGAGGAAGCCAAAAATGTCACACCCGATTAAAATTTGTTGGGGACGACAGGTAAATTGGTCATTTCACGTGAGAGCGTTAGTTGTTGCGGATCGACCTGTTAGATTCTTACTCGTCACAACTTACACATATTAACAATCAGCGGACATGCCCAGTTCTCTCAGCCACGAATAAAGGGGAGAGAAACTTTAGGGATTATTTTGCACGCCTACCGAACGACGCACCGCCACCTCAGTAGGGGACCAGTCCAAGTGTGCGATATAGAAGAGTTTATGTGGAGTAAAGAAACGAATAGGGACCGGTTCGCTTACATGAATAAAAAAAGCCCTACTCCAGAGTGAAATTTTAACGTGTACCGGGGGATTTGAATATAGCTCGCGATTTGAATTCACATGGGCAATAGGGGACCAATGGCCAGCCAGATCAAAGCGAAATCCGAAAAAACCCCTAGGAGGAGCATGCTTGGGGGGTGGTGGGGGTGAGCTTGGAAGGGTGCACCTTGGATAAAAGGCTCCCTGCTTAATTAACTATTGTTGATTAGTTTATAGTGGCACCCAAAGTCTCTCCCCAGCTTCCATCAACCCTCTTTATCCTCCTCCTCCTTTCTTATACCCACTTGCATGCCTCCTCTCCTCTCTACACACTTCAGAGAAAGCCACAGCTCCCCAATGCTCCTCTAGCTAGCCCATTATCTCTCTCTCTCTAGCTAGCTAGACTAGATCACAGGTGCAACTTGGTCTCCTGGATTCATCTTCAAGGTATGCAAATTGAATATGTGCTTGTGTTTGTGCATTAGATCTCCCCAAATATTTGTATCCTTACAAAAATCTCTTCTCCCTTTCTGCCCTTTTCTTATTGTGAGAGGAGAGGGTAGATAAATTCATTCATCTTGCTGTTTTTCTTGTGTGTTCTGCTTGTGTGGATATGGTGAAGGAAGCTTACATGATCTGTGTGTGTTTGTGTTGTGCTTGCATGTGGTGACCGAAGACTTCATGGCGAACCGGTGGTGGGACGGCCATTTGGGGCTGCCGGGCGTCGCGCCGGAGCAGCCGTCCGGCTCGTCCGGCCCCAAGGTCGAGTCGCTCGCGCTCGTTGTCAAAGATTCTGAGACCAGCCCGACGTCCGGTGGCGGCGAGCACGGGGACGAGAACAAGGACGCTGTCGGTGGCGGCGAGCCGCGCGATCTGGGCGCGGTGGTGCCCGCCCCGAACCGGCGGCCCCGGGGCCGGCCGCCGGGGTCCAAGAACAAGCCGAAGCCGCCCATCTTCGTGACGCGCGACAGCCCCAACGCGCTGCGCAGCCACGTGATGGAGGTGGCCGGCGGCGCCGACGTGTGCGACGCCATCGCGCAGTTCTCGCGCCGCCGGCAGCGGGGCGTGTGCGTGCTCAGCGGCGCCGGGACCGTGGCCAACGTGGCGCTGCGCCAGCCGTCGGCCCCCGGCGGCGCCGTGGTGGCCCTCCACGGCCGCTTCGAGATCCTCTCGCTCACGGGGACCTTCCTCCCGGGGCCCGCGCCGCCGGGGTCCACGGGGCTCACCGTGTACCTGGCCGGCGGGCAGGGGCAGGTGGTGGGCGGCAGCGTGGTGGGCTCGCTCGTCGCCGCGGGCCCCGTCATGGTGATCGCGTCCACGTTCGCCAACGCCACCTACGAGCGCCTGCCGCTGGAGGACGAGGACGAGGGCTCGGGCCCGCCGATGGCGCACGACCCGCTCATGGCCGGCGGCGTCCACGTCCACGGGCACGGGCACGGGATGCCCGACCCGTCGGCGGCGATGCCGATGTTCAACATGCCACCGAACAACGGGCATCTCGGCGGCGGCGGCGGCGGCGGCGACGGGTTCCCATGGGCGCCGCACTCCCGCGCTCCCTACTGATGGCGCGCACGGCAATGGCGAAATGGCGTGGTGCACTGCATGCTGCATGGTTACTGTTCCATTGGAGTCACTTGGCGCCATTAGCTAGGTTAGTACATATGACGATCCAAGCTATCTAGTGGCGATTAATTAGAGCGAATTCGTACTGCTACTTAGTTTCTTAATTATGTTGTTATGGTCAAATAATTTTCTAATTTGCTGGTGTGTTTATTGTTGTCTACTACTGAATCAACTGAGCTAGAGATATAGCTAGCTCTGGTCAATTCATGCAATGTTTGGTTAATTCATCATGGAATTAATGTTCGGTTCCTCATCCATCCGTGATCCGTCGATCGATATATATATGCTTAATTTCTCTAAATGGTTAGGGGTGATGAACTTCAAAATTCAGAGCAAACTTTTGTTTGTTCTCTTGTTTGGATTTGTTTACTGCTACTTGTTCTAGTCCCTACCCCCTAGCATGTGATTGTTGCTAAGTTATTCCCAAGGAACACACGCATTCATACATGTAGTAATTAACCAGTATATAGCACAACACTTTTAGTACTGTAGCTAGTTTGTTGATCAAGTATAGTTAGTAAGTAGCTTGATGTCAGTTGGTCCCAGATCTCTCATGCTGTTTCGATCCAGTGCAAGCTCTTTACAATGGTCCCCCATATTTTTTTAGTTTGAACTTAATTTGATTGGGTACCGCGACGAATGCGAAGGTGCATCTGTAGCTCGTCGGCGATGGCAATGGAGATCTATAGCACAAGTGGCAATGTCATGTGCATGCATGGTTACTTACTGTTCCATTGGATCAGAGAAGATAGCCCGATGTGCGGATTTTCGCACGCAATTAGCTAGGTTGGCGCCTATGGTTGATGATCAGATGATGATTAATTAGGCTCATGCGTAGTCGTGCACCGTTGTTATGGTGAAACAGAAAATTAGTGGAATGTTTGTGTGTTTGTTAATCGCTTACTTTGTTAGCCGAGCTAGCCAACTATTGATCGATCATATTGGATAGTAATTGTAGATATAACTATCTCAGTTGGATCAATTTCATGCACTTTATGTTTGGTTCCTCGTTCGTATATATGGTTAGGGGTGATGAACTGCAAAATTCAGAGCAAACTTTTGTTTGTTCTCTTATTTGGATGTGTTTCTTGTTACTTGTGCTGGTCTCTAGCATATGGTTGTTGTTGAATTATCCAAAACACCAGCATTTATATGTGCATAATGTTACTATATATATAACACAACACTTTGAGTGAGTTAGTTTGTTGATGATCAAGTCTAGTTAGTAAGTAGCTTGGCGTCAATTGGTCCCAGGTCTCCCACATTATCTCTGAATGCTAGCTCTTTTTATTGGTCCCCCATGTTTCCGAATTTGAACTTAATTTGCTTGGATACCGCAACAAAGGTCAAGGTCAACTAGCCAAGAAAATCGATCTCTAGCAGCTGTGCATCTCACTTCTGCAGCTCGGCCGCGATGTGGCTATGGCATGTGTGTGCCTGGTTACTTTTCCGTTGCATTGGAGGAGGTAATCTGATTGTGCCATAAGCTAGGTTAGTACGTATGTATGATCCATGATCAAGTGTGAATTAAGTAGGCTCTTGCGTACTCGCGCTACTTTGTTATGGTAAAATGATAAGTGAAAATGTTTGTGTGTTAGTAAGTGTGTGCTTAATTAATTTAGCTGGCTAGATAGAAATCGATCATATTGCTAGGTCAGATCAGTTCATGCGTGCAATGTTTGGTTCGTGAACTACCATGATTCATGTTGAGCTGATTTCTAGGTGGTCAATTTTTTTTTCTCTACCATGGGGCAAGTGCGGTTCAGATTTAACTGTGTTAAGTCTCTTAACTGTGTTAAGTCCCTCCTCCCTCGTCCCTTTCTTTGAATCTACTCCATCCGTTCCTAAATATAAGTCTTTTCAGAGATTTGAATATGGACTACATACAGATGAATATAGACATACCCATTTTGCTCCGTATGTAGTCCATATTAGAATATCTAGAAAGACTTATATTTAGGAACTGATGGAGTATTTCCTACAAACATGTGTTTGTGATTATATATAACTAAGTTATTGCTTGGGACTCGCGTCCATACATGCATGCTAATTAACAAAACAGATGATTTTAGTGAAGAACACTTCTCTGACCCTTCGATAGTAAAGATTAAGTAGCTTGGCTCCGTTGGCCCCAGATCTGAGACTGTCTCGAGTGATCTGTTTATTGGTCCCCCATTTTCTCCAAACTTGAACTTTGTTAATTTGGATGTCGCAGATCAAGAGGCGAATTAAGAAAATCCCCACCACAGGTGCATCTACGCAATATTTTAGATCTAATAGTGTAAATTAAGTTAGGAGAGCACTAAGTATTATCAGTAAACTGAATTATATGTGCGCTCTAGCAAAGCAACCATTAGTTCTTAATATCACTGCTGAACTTGCATGCAATATGCATGCCCAGTTAGCTCTACACAGTCCTGGACTAGTTGGCTTATATGCTTTTATTGTAGTAATAGCTTGTGTCATTCCAATGAATTTGATAGCTAAACCTTTTGGCGTTTTTTCTTGTAGATACCATTTGCTTATTTTGTGTTAATTGAATCAATTTTAATTTGTCCATCTTTGCAAGATCTAGCTACCAATTTAGCGATGTTATTACCATGATGTTTATCATCACGTTGGACTAGGTTAGTCTTCAAACAAAATATGCTCAACACTAATGTGAGAGATTTCATGTTTTTCAAACAAGATCTTTCGGATCCCATACTATAAGGACCGACTAATTACGAAGCTATCATATACCAAATACATTGCAATATTAATTGGGGAGGGGAGATTAGTGTTTTGAACATAGTTGATGCATGTATGGATCAAATAAAACACGATTAACCAACTAAGCTAAATTACAGTAACAATTGGTGTGTTGTGGTTATTATGCATGGTGATATGAAAGATGTCTAATATGGATTTTTTATATATGAGAGTACACTACTGGGGAAACCATAGTAGCAATGCAGGGTAATGGCCTACCAGTAGCGCGAGGGCCCGCGCTCCTGCTAGCGCGCTACGGCTAACTTTTAGCAGTAGTGAGGGGTTGAACCCTGCGTTGCTGCTACTTCTGGTAGCAGTAGCGTGGGTCCCAGTGATGGTACTAATTTTATGTAGCAGCAGCGCGGGCCCCACGTTGTTGCTACGTTCTTACCCCGCGCTACTACTAGTTTTTCTCTAAAAAAAATTCTTCTGGCTACACATACATGGTATTTGGAGCACGGGTGCATTGGAGTACCTTATTTTAAATAGTTTAAAAATAATATTTAAATTTTCAAAGAATTCTGAAAAGAATTCTACATGATCATATGCATGTATATTACACACATGTAAAGTTTGGTGATGGAATAAGTAAACATGTGAGATATACTAAAATGACAAAGTGTGATATCTAAGTAGTGAATAATACATGCACTGTTCATCTTTCCAAAATCATGATTTTTATCATTTTTGTGCAACTCACATGGTTACTTATTTCATCATCAGAATTTGCACATGTGTAATATATGTTCATATGAGCATGTTACATTTTTTTCAGAATTTTTGAAAACTTCAAAATACAGGTCCGACACTATTTAAATATAGGGCTCACTGGAGCTCATGCACCAAAATGACTTTATGTTTATTTACTAGCATGCATGGCTCTTTCTTGCCAAGGTGCAACGGTGCAAAGCTAGTATCTTTTGACAATGAAACAAGAATATTAAAAATATATGTTTCAGCAATAATTTAAGAACCTAATTATTTTTTATAAAACCATATATCTAATGGTCTAACTAACTCAAGAAGCTAAATCTACATACAATGGAATCATCATGTTCGTCCATACAAGACCACTGGCTGCGGATATTCTTCAAACTTGATTTTTTTTCATGTTTATCATGTAGGAGTTATCATATTATCCAACCGGCGAGATGTTTTGCTCAACAGTTTATATTTTATGCATATATTTATCTCTAAAATGATAGTATTTATTCAATAATTAACAGAGCGCTTAAATGTGCGGTTATTTTTCATTTGCCTTACAAATAACAAAATCATTGATATAAGTTGCATGTTTTCAAGTGTTGATCCTTTTTTTAAACTCTGAGATTCAGCTGATTTGTTGAGTGTATCCTATTTGTACTTGCCTATGGAAAACATCTATTTTTTTCTTCTGCTAGAAAAATGAACAATGCTCCTATAGACTATAGTGCATCTGAAATACTGTGCTTGCCTTCGTCCAAAAACCTCTCGGTGAAGATTGGTTGTGATATATAGAATGTGATCGGGAAGGATGATGGTGGAGTACAAATTGCATGATTTTCACCAGACATGGAGTTTTAAACTCGAGCTCACATGAGCTCGATTGAACGGTAAATCCAAAAATAAACTATTTTTTAAACTGATTTTTTTAGAGAAACAGCTCGAGCTCACAATTGCACTTTCGGGCTTTCACCTTGATACTAATAGTCTAGTTGTTGGAGTAACTATATAAGACTATGGCCAGTTATAATCTTAGCACACATGCATGGATCGATAGATGTAGTCGACTGATTGGACATGGTAACTTAAGAAAACCAAAACAAACTACGCGGATAGGTTATCGAAAAACCGCCACCTTTATTTTCTACACATAACCACCACTATCAGTATCAAGGTGACCTAGAGGGCAAGGTCATGACATAAAGCACTGATCCATGGCTAAGTATGTTTTGATAGCGACTATGACTTATGGGTATCGGGGCACACGGTGGCTACTATAGTGCATAACAAAAAATTCGACCACGCAACCAAGAACATACTGTTGGGTGTAGATCAAGGGATCAGATTTTACCACTGGATACACAATCAAGGCACCGGAAGGAAAGTAGCGATGTGCGTCCCTATCTCCTGCTTGTGGATCCCTCGTATAGTTCTTCATGGTTCCTCAAATGGTTCGTCAGAGTGTCGTAGGTGCAACGTCTCCAAGG